AAGAACTGTGTCAGATTACCTAGAAATACTCAATTAAAAAATGAACTAATACTCCATTAGTTACAAAAGTTTGATTCAGCTATTCTAAAATTCACAAACTTTTTAAGTTTAGTTGAAACTCATATAGTTGAAGTTATAAATTAAGGTATTGCAGAAATGGGTTCCAAGAAGTCTTTTATGAAAAGAATGTACACACTCTCTCTCTTTGTTGGAGTTCTGTATTCTAGATTTGTAGATAAACTTTTCTTATATGAGAAAATAACCAGAAACAAATTAACTGAAAACTAAAAGATACAGAAGACATTTCTCTTCTAAACCCTAAAGTAAGGCTCACTGAATGAATATAATTCCAGTTTTTATAATAATCCATTAACAGTTCAGGAAAGATTTTAAAATATTTATATGATGTTTTAGGGCACCTTATACACACTAAAAATGTGCATTTGAGGATAAAGTGGTTAGAATTCTATTCATCTATTCCTGCATTATGGCTAGAGATTCCTGCTTCAGAAAGTTTGTTTACTGTTAAGGCCACAGAGTGACAAAAAAGGAAGTGATACAAAGATATTTTGCTGAGACTGCCAAGTTTTAGAAGCTTCTAAAAAGATTTTAAGTATTAAAACCACTTTTAAAGCTAACTGTAAATGCAAGCTCTGAAGTCATGAGATGGAGAAATATAAACATTTTTATTATTAATAGTCCAGATTCTGGGAAGCTCTAGTGACATAGTCCATAGAGACTGTTGCTAACCCAAAGGTCACATTTTTCTGGTGGTTCGAATCCACCAGTTGCCCCATATAAGAAAGATGGTAATCTCCCATCAAGTGATTATACCCTTAGAAGAGGCTATTAGTTGGCATCGACTTGATATCAATGAAAGAATATTACATAGATTATTATACAATAATACTACTATTTATGTAGTTTCCATAGTGAAGAATACCATAAATTTTACTATCAATATAAAATATATTTTAAAATTTAAAAAGTAAAATATCACAATAAAATAAGAATTTGTCTGACCCACTAAAATACTAAGGCATTTTAAGAAATTGTCAATTAGAATTTGATGACTATTTAAGTGGTCAGCCAGGAAACACCTAAAAAAGTTTGACATTCTCCTGCCACTTCCTATCCTTCCTCAAAAAGTTCTGGAATTTTAAGTATTACTATCATCTACTGACAGTACAATAAAAGTAAAAACAGGGCAATTTTGTTGATGAATACAGGAGTCTGATAAAGATGTAAATGGAAAACATCTTTGATAAATGTACTTAAACCCAACTGCCTCAAAAGAAAGATCTGAAAATACATTAATTAGCTGAATTTAAGTTACTTAGGTACATATGTATAGTCTATTTCAAGATTCATCTTTCAAATATTTCAATTTTTTAAAAAGCATATCCTACAAATTTAACTGAGGACTGTCTCCACTAGCAAGCAACCTGCATAAGAGGAGATTGCCTATCTTCCTCCTGTGGAGAAGCTCTTGGGTTTGAATTGCTTGCCTTTGGGTTG